GTTCTAATCTGACTTTAGATTTGAAATTTCACCTTCAATGACCTTCTCAGGGTCAAAAAGGTCTATTTTCATCTTGCTTCAAATTGACCAATTTATTTTTTGAAAATCATTTACAAGTTCTCGAAAATTTAAATCTTGAACTCATGATATTGTGAGCAACTAGGTGGTGGCATTTTGTCAGGTCAATGCCTTGTTCTGATATGTATTTGCAAACAATTTTTCTCTCCTTGTTTTCTTATTGAGATGCTTTATCTTTTATTTATTTAATTGTCCACAATTATGTTCCCTTCAAGTTAACAATCGAGTTGATTGAAGCTATTATTTTTCAAGATGTCTCATGGGCATGCTTTATGCTCTCGCAAAACAATTTTTTTAATTAAATAAATGGCTCTTCTTGATTGTGTTGCTTGTAGGCTTTATAGGTTTAAAGGATTTTATATGTTAACGTCTTGCGGCTTGTTTTAAATTTTGATTTTATTTCATTTGAAAAGTGCTATTGTTATGGTCTTCTATAATAACCAGGTAGGTGGGAGTATGGCGGCCATTGGGGTGCGCAAGAAATCATTTTATCAAGATTGCAAGAAAACCATTTGTCTATTGCTTTTTACATTTTACAGATGCAAGAGCGAACTAGAGCCAGGTCTGATTAGGTTTTGACCATGCTGATTAATTAACAAGGCTGCCATTTTGCTCTTCAAGTGAGATATTTATCACAATGTGTCTTGTTAATGCTTTTGATTGTTTGTTTTGTGTAGTATTAATGTTAAGTTCTGCCTCTATATTCATTCATTTAGGGCCTGTTTTCATATCTTCATACTTCAAGTCAATGTTTCTCCATGTGTTTTCTTTGTTTATGAGGGTATATCGTTGTTAGTTCAGTTTTAGCTATCCAACTGGAATGTTTTCTGTTAAAGGTGAATTTGCTATTTGTCATCATATCATATGCAACTGATTATTAAAACAAGATCAAAACAAAATGGCTGCTCAATTTCTGTAAAAAGACATTTGTATGCCTTTTGTATGCCTTTTGACATTTTTCTTATATTTGAAATTAAACTGCATCATATATAGGTTTGCAATCTCCAATTTCCAAAATACTCTCCATTGGTTCTTGCTTTCACTAAAATATTGTTTGATGGATTTTTACGAACAGTTTATTGTGATATGATCAGTTATATTTTGTAAGGTAAGATTTGCCACCCTGGGAACTTCACTTTTTTAGTTTTTACCTTGAATTCAGTGGAAAGTACTGAGAAAGTAATTGTACACCCTGGCTGCAAAGTGTCAGGATTCAAATAATTCATTCCTCATTTTCATTAAGGCAAAAGCATGCACTCAAAATCAAAAGCCTCTCATATCCATAGACATTTGTTAGCCATAATGAAAGTGAAGAAGTTATTGCTTTTTCATGATAGTTTGAAGTACATTTAAATTAAGAAACACATCACTGCCCAATTCCACAAAGTGAAAATCCAAGGATAATTTTTTATCACAATCTGTTGGAAAAGCCTTTCCATTTTGTTGTGGCAGAGATGATACAGGTACTGACAGGGTTGTTTTAGGATATTCACCTCTTGGATCCCAGATTCTAAAGTAGATTTGAAACCAGGTGATTTCTCATTTTGCAAGCTTTTGACATTTCACTACATACATATATACAACAGGTGGTGCTCAATTTATTGAAATTAGACTACAGAGATCATTTCTACACATTTTAAACCATTTTTGGTGTAGATTGGATGAAAATTGTCGAAATTAGAGCAATTTTAGGGGAAAGAAATTTGTGACGTATTCTCTCGTCACTAGGTTTCAAGGTCATTTCTAAGGTGACGAGAAATTTGATTATAGCCATTCATTTTCTATTACCTGGGGATGGCTAAAATGATTAATCAGAGTGCGCGAGTTCATCATGTTCAGTGTGTCTAACACCTACGTGCCATATATGCACCCATCTTCCTTTTGCAAGATCTCAACTTTATCGTATTGTCTTTTAATTAGACACAGGTCCTTTATCTAGCTTATTTCCAATAGGATGATTGCAGTAGTTTCAGTAGAACACTAATCGAGCTCTACATGTTATACCTAAAATGGGCTGATACTTATTGCAAATTCAAACTCGCATGAAAGGCCATAGAAAAATCTGTTGAGACTGTTAAGATTTGATAATGTAGTTTCATGAAAGTGCACACAGGTCCATGTAAAACATATTTGCTAGTTAAGACTTAGTTTGTGGTCTTTAAGATACCCTTCACTCTTAACTTTGCCTTATGTGATTTTCGTAGATTATCTAAAATTGCAAAATATGAAATATTGTATTTTGATAAAAATATTGTTATGGTCTCCATTTTCTTTTAACGGTGGTTGGCGATCGGTGTCTGTAACAAATTCATACAACTTCCAATAACTTAACAAATACTGTTTAGACTGATTTCAGTTTTTTCAAAATCATCAACAAGTTATCAGAAGTTCTAATCTGACTTTAGATTTGAGATTTGACCTTCAATGACCTTCTCAAGGTCAAAAAAGGTCAAAAAGGTCTTCAACTTGCTTCTAATTGACCAATTTATTTTCAAAATCCTCTCCAAGTTATCAGAAGTTCAAATCTGACTTTAGATATGAGATTTGACCTTCAATGACCTTCTCAAGGTAAAAAAAGGTCAAAAAGGTCTTCAACTTGCTTCAAATTGACCAATTTTTTTCAAAATCACCTTCAAGTTATCAGAGGTTCAAATCTGACTTTAGATTTGAGATTTCATCTTCAATGACCTTCTCAGGGTCAAAGTAGGTTTTTCAACTTGCTTCAGATTGACCAATTTATTTTTTCAAAATCATCTTCAAGGTCTCAGAAATTCAAATCTGACTAAGATTGAACTCATAATATTGTGAGCAACAAGGTGGTGACATTTTGCCATGTTCCAAATGCCTTGTTTTAATTTTGTGAGAGTTACCAGTCTTATAAAGTACAGTTCAGGAACATTTTTATTTTGTTCATGAACTATTCCAGAATAACTCATGAACGATTCATGCATAATGTGTTTATTTTTGCCTGGGTGTTTTGACTGTCATCATTTATTGGGGATTGTATTGTAATTATACTTTATTATACTTTACTACAATCATTGTTCTTAATGTGCTTAACTCACTGATTAAATAATTCACTGTGTACACGTACATTAATTAAACAACATGAAACAGGATTGAAACCCCCATAATATCCTGGCATCTGAACTCTTTAGTTGTGAGAAAAATCTCATTAAATACAGACTCTCCCAAGCGACTCATTTTATTCTACTATTATTTATGCATCATTTATAAAGCCATCATAAATTCCTTGTTGGGGTCACAAGGGATTAACCGCTTTAAGAGGTGATTCTTATGATTTGAATATAGGTACCGATCAAGCGTGAACACTTTCCGCATATTCTATATTTTTGGACATAATTCTCTACAGCTTAGCATTTTCAATAAAATGATTTCGCTTCTTTAAAATAGAGCTTTATCTTAACTATTTGAATTATCACCTGATCTAGCCTTCCCCAATCAGAATAGGTCTATAAGAATCTAGCTATCCAATCAGATGTGGAGAAACAGGATTTAATTCCTTCAAACCTGAGCAATCTCACTTGAATTTGCTGAAATATGATTTATGCTAACAAACATTAAGAGTGATCTTTTAGCATCTCCTCAAAATGTAATTATTGATATTTGTGGCTGTTGAGGTTGCTAATATAGTACAATAATGTGTACTATTTTGAGGATTATATCAATCTTTGTACGTTACTTAATGACTGTTGTGTCTCTTACTTGTGTTATATTGTCTGTATGTTTTTGATATTTAATAGTTCTTCTAATAAGCTCTTCACATTGGAAATGATTTTTATAATGTTAACTCATTGCAAGCATATTTTTGAGACTATGTATGCCTATTAGTTTCTCTCTTGCGTGCTATTAATGTTTGGCATAAATATAATTTTTCTGAGAAATTGATATAATTATTAATCCCGTCCTGAGGCAAAATTTGAATATATGATCCTCAGAATATTTATATTGCTTACCCCCATTGTATAGTATCTATACATGGTCAAGGGATAATTTTTTAATGATTTTGAAGAATGGAGTTATGACCATATAGGTCAGTTTATAGATGTATGCTAAATTAATGATTTTGAAAGAGCAGATGGTTAAAACACTGAATTTCCAAACATATGTTAAAATTATGTATAACTGACTGAGAATCAAGGTTTAAAACCATATTTACCTTTGAAATATATATACATACAAATGTACTTAGTATATACCTTTGGAAAAACCACAAACTCTTAATCTCAGAATATATTGATTGATTTGGTACACAGAAATCTAAAGAAGTGATTTTCATGTATTTTCAGGGGAGACTGAGTTTGGTCAGAGGGATCTAGTAGATCAAGGGGAGGAATACATGGAATGTGCCCGACAAAATCCTCACCACTTTGTCAACCCGATTGTAAATTTCCATTGCATCAACGGAGTAACAGTTCCACTTGCTGAAGCCCTTGAAGCTATTGGAGTTGTTGTACATGGAACAAGGGTGCCAGCTGCATCAGGGGGAAGTGAAGAGGACAGTACTTCCAATGCAACAACAGATAGAGACCCTGAACTCAAAATGACTGAAACTAATGATAGAGATGTAACATCAGAAATTAATAACAAAGGAAGTGATAATTCTGTAGGAGGTGCTACACTTATTCATGGACCAGATAATCTTGATATTGGAAATGATACAACTGCTCCATCTCAAACAACAATACAGGATTCTATTCATGATGCTTCTTCAGCAATATCAAACATGTGTTCTTCGGAGATACCAGCTGTGATAAACAGTACAAAAGGCACATGTGTGAACCTAGATATAACATGCATGATAGCCCTAGTGTCTTCTCTCACCCACGGCAATTGTCATCTAGAGTTCCCCGATGACCCTTTGTTAACCGAACAAGCCTCTTGGGAACGCACGGAACCAATCCTGAAATTGTTAAACCAATTCATGCAAGGTAAGCATGCAAGAACATTTGAACTGATCATTTAGGGAATTTTTAAAATTATTCTTTGGCTCAATGAGGGTGATAAATGTTCTAGACTTCTAAAGGTTTAGTCAAAAGTATCAAATTTGTTAATCTATCCATTCTGAATCACTTATACTAAAGATTGGAAAGGAACATTCCTCAAAATACATTTTAGTTTGAGGTTCAAGAGCTTGCATCTCATCTCTCTTATTAACTAATGGTCTTCCCCTTTGATATTCTGATCATCTACATGTAGGTTTATGAGGGCACATTCCTTTTTAAGGTTACCCTGGTCTTTTCTTGCCATAAAATCATATCATTGTATAAACTGTAATAGAACCTGTTGACATATGCAGGTTGATGATCGTTTAGTTTGACATTAACCAGAACAGCAAATTCATTCATTTGTTTTCAGTGGGCTTCTACATGTAGATATCAATGAATATCATATGAATGTTTTCCAATTTCCTTTGATTTGTCAAACACAGATGAATTGTCCTAAAAAAGATGAAATGCTTTGGTCAAGCATATCAACTTGCAACACCTGCTAAGTCTGCGTGTTCAAAAAGTGATATCCTACTATACAGGAAGTAAGAGCCAGAAGGCTAAAACTAATTATTAAAATAGATCAAATATTTCTTTTTTGCACCAAATACACTGGAGTATCTTTTGAATATGATATTCTTAATTTGTATTTTTACTCATACTATTATTGTTCACCAATAACACTTTGAATTATTTTTCAGGTAAAAAATGGATTGCTTGTCAAACAGCAGTAAGCGACTTCCAGACAATATTACAAACAGTGGGAGGGTGTAAAGAAAAAGAAAGAGCAACTCACATGCTTGAGCACATTACAATAGTCAGTGATACACTTTCAGAAAGGGCGTTTAAATTAAAATGTAGCGGCAAGCTCAAGCAACGTGCTAAGGTAATAGAAAGTGATGGATTCTTAATTATACCTATTTACAGGATGTTAAGAAACAATAGCACCCTGTACAGCAGAATGGTTGTCATATGAACTATTAACAAGAGACTGTAACTCTTACAAACTCCATAATACAAAACTCAAGAATATAAATTCCCTTTAAAATGATATATAACAGAGAATGCATCATTAATTTAAGAGTGAGAGTGACATTGTTTCTTGACAGCCTCTGCATTCACTCACCTTTTCTAGATGTGCTAAGCGAGAAAGAAAATACCATCGCGTTTAGAGGCTTACATCCCCTCATTAGCAGACGGCGCATTTTATGTATAGTGATTTTCTGTGTTCTTGTGACTGATAACAAAATGTCAAAGAATGACTTAAGGCGTATGATGACTAAATTACATTAAACCTCTTACTGTAACCCATGTATACTTTAACGCTGTGAAATTCTATTTCTGCTGAATACCAAATTTTGTATTTTGTAATGTGGAAAATTTTATTTATTTATATTCAGTCTTCTCTGATGGCAATTTTCTATTTAAATTTTTCCTGCTTATATTTTAATGCTTTCTTCATTTATGTTGTCAGTCCACACCTAGCTGAATATTTGCATTTTGAAAATGAAAATGAAAAGCTGGATACAATTATAACCAAATATGCAAATATTACCAGGGTTACGGTTTTTATGAATTCACTATGAGTTGATGTCTCTTCAAGTTCAGCTTTAATCTTATCTTGATTCAATGTGTTTGACCTTGACCCTGTATTAATTGCACTATTGTGTCTGTGGTATGTGCAATATGGGTGATGGGGTATTTCTAGCACAATTAAGTGCCTGCCTTCACGGAATCTGCCAATTACCATGATAGGAAATGACCAATGTTGACAACTACATGTACAAAATGTGTGAAAGGATGGATGAAAATAAGTGACCTTGTTGCACTCCAATGGAATCGCTTTGAGACTACTGGATGATTATTCATTCCTCTGTCTTTCAGAGATAACTCAAATACCAGTTGGTGGATTGAGTTAGAGTTTTCTTGGCTGAGGTCTTATGGCCACAGGATCTCTGCTCAAGAAGGAATTTATAATATGGCCACTGAATTCAAATGAAAAACATATACGACATTTTTGGAATGTTTGACCATATTTGTATTTAACTCCCTATATTATTTGGGAGATATAAATTGAATCATGTTTTGAATCCGTAAACAATTTATTGGTAGATTTACAAGAAAAATATGTTTTATATCACTTATGGAAAAGGTTAAGCAATGTGTAAGCAAATTACAGCAGGCATTGCCCATATTGACCTCAACATACCCTGCTTAAATGGTATTATGTCTCTCTCTATAACTTAATCATGCACATATTGATTAATTAGCCTGAAGCCGCAGTTGTCATTCAAGCAAGGATGATGTGAGCATATGAAGGAGGAAGTTTTGTGTTTTAGAAGAATGAGTATTTATGATTGATCAGTTGTCCCTGACATACAGCCATTTTAGACATTTTGTCAGTAAAGGTTTTAAGTGCTAGTGCCCCTCTTCCATTAGTTTTTATTGCACTTGAAAAAGTGCTTTGCTGTCATTTCTTGGGCTGATGAGCGGTGCACCTGGGTAGGTGGGCAGTTGGGCACCACGAGGAGTGCCAACATCTGATAAAGTTTCGGGCATGCTGGGTAAATTACATGGTGGCTATTTTGATTTTCAAAGAGCAATATTTATCACTGTGTGTTTTTGAGTCATTCTTACATAACAAGCAGAGATTACAATTTGTCAAGATATGATGTTGAGGTTTTTATTCGTCTTCACACATGTGCCTTTTGTCATTAATATCAGCTGAACTGTGCCTGGATATTTGCTGACATGGCACACTATCTAATCTTCACTTTGAACTTGCCTACGTGTATTCCTACTATCTTCTTCTTGGCAATGTTAATGTTTTAAATGTACGTACTGGCTTCACCCAATCGATATAGAGATAAATACTAATTTTCCTCACTTAGTTCGTAATTAACAGTTTCGATAAGTGCTTTTTTAGGAAGATTCTTTTCTTTAGAGAGTATACTGTGGATGGTGTCTTGTTTTATACTGATAAATGCAAATTGCTATTATATGTATTGTGATTTTGCTGTTATTCCTTCATACAAAATGATGATAACATAATACAGATATATGTGTATTTTTTGATAAGATGATTCAACTGTACTTCAGAACCTTGTATTGGTTCCACTGGCAGAATTTGGATGGGGGGGGGGGCTAGGTGCCTTGCCCATTTTGATACATAATAGGTAATATGCAACACTTTTGATGTCTTAAATGGGCTGAGCATAACATAATACAGTCTATGCCTCTACAGTATTTTCTTCCAGGTAAAACGGTCAGATCTTCCGCAAAACAAATGAGGCAATTTTTCATCCTCTCTTTCATTTAATGTCCTCCTTATTGCTTCATTTAGTGCCCCTTAGCTCTTAAACAGTGTTATTTTTCTTGTCGTTTAAAGTGCTTTTATTACATGCAGATTATATTTCACCTTGCCTTAGGTGCCGCTCAAGTATGTTTTGAGCTTTGCTTATATTCATGCTAAAAATTACTACAAATCACACATGAAAGATAATACCTTGGTGAAATCCTTCTTATTCTTACTCATTTGACTTAAATTTCCACAGTATCTAATTAAGATACCTATTAAAACATGTTTCAGCATGAAATGTTATATTATTTTCATCAACCATCATTTTATGACACTTTTCAGGTTATATTTGGTACGGGTGACTACCATCAAGCTATAACCGTCACTGCAAATGCAGGTTTTGTCCGTGCTGCTGAAAATCAGGTATGTGAAGTATTTATATTAGCAAAATTATAAAATCAACACTCCTCTCTATCACTTGTAGATTCTAATGAATCAAAGAGTCCTACAGTAATGTGTTTTAAATTTTTTTAAAGTCAAATTCTGGTAGGTGGGGCATAACATGTTGTGTGGAGGTTAGTCAGTCCAGACTACATGTGTCTGTGTTTTGTCTTTGAGTTTCTTGACATATTGTCTATGTTCTGTCTATAAATGTGATGTCATTGTCTATGTTCTGTCTATAAATGTGATGTCATCATCTATATTCTGTCTTTAAATGTAATGTCATTGTCTATGTTCTGTCTGTAAATGTGATGTCATCGTCTTTGTTCTGTCTATAAATGTGATGTCATCATCTATGTTCTGTCTGCAAATGTGATGTCATCTTGTCACTTGTCATCTTGTCACTTTGAATGTTTTGTCATCTTGTCTCTGTTCTGTCTGTAAATGTGATGTCATCTTGTCACTTTGAGTGTCTTGTCATCTTGTCTCTGTTCTGTCTGTAAATGCGATGTCATCTTGTCACTTTGAGTGTCTTGTCATCTTGTCTATGTTCTGTCTGTCAATGTGATGTCATCGTCTATGTTCTGTCTGTAAATGTGATGTCATCTGGTTTCTGTTCTGTCTGTAAATGTGATGTCATCTTGTCACTTTGAGTGTCTTGTCATCTTGTCTATGTTCTGTCTGTAAATGTGATGTCATCTTGTCTATGTTCTGTCTGTAAATGTGATGTCATCTTATCTATGTTCTGTCTACAAATGTGATATCATCTTGTCACTTTGAGTGTTTTGTCATCTTGTCTATGTTTTGTCTATAATTATGATGTCATCTTGTCTATGTTTTGTCTATAATTATGATATCATCTTGTCTTTTTGTCTATAATTATGATGTCATCTTTTCTATGTTTTGTCTATAATTATGATGTCATCTTTTCTATGTTTTGTCTATAATTGTGATGTCATCTTGTCTATGTTATTTATAGTCACTGTGATATCTCAGCTATGTTTATCTCTATAACTGTGATGTCATCTTGTCTATGTTTTGTCTATTACAATTGTGTCATCTTGTCTATGTTAATATTCATGTAACTGTGGTATTGGCATAACTAGGTTGATGTCATCTTGCCTATGTTTTGCTTTAACTACAATGTCATCTTGTCTTTGTTCTTTTTGTGACAGTGGTGTCATCTTGTGAACTGTCTTTTCATATAACTGTGGTATTATATATCATCTTTAGTTATGAGTAACTGTGATGTCATATTATACATCTGTACAGTATGGGAGAATTCAGATGTCATTTTATTGTACCCCTTACATCTGAATCTGCTTAAACTGACAGGTGAAAAATTATATTCGAATCATCCTCTTTACAAACATAAACAGGAATATCATGACAAATGTGTAGTTGCATGTCATTGCAAACTCTGCTCCGGACATGTCTCATGAATATTAGATAAATATTATGACATTAATTGGCTATGAACTCCAGGGCTTGTTTATGTTCCGAAGCCTTAAACTTCATAAAGTGATGTCAGCCTATTTTTATATTTTAAAAATAAATTCTCAGAATCCATAGAATCAATCAAAGACCTTCCTGAGCTGTTTGCTTTATTGAAGGGAGATTTCAGGGTCTTCTGCTTTATTAGGGTAGAAAAGCCATACCAAGCTTTGTTGCAACAGCAGGTCAATGACATGTGAGACATTAAATAAAAAGGCAGTTGACCTTATTGCTTTTTCTGTATGTTTCTCACGAGATATAACAATGTTGACAATATGTAATAATTTACACTAGTTCACCCAAATATTGATTGGTTCTTTTGTTCAGGATTGTAAATGATCAGCAATTACATGGTATTTGAGCTTAATATCCAAATGGATACCACATGGGATTGTATTGAATTAAATGCCAAAGTATTATTGCATACCCAAAGTCCCAGTAGGGCTTGAACCGGCATCTCCATTTCCTGCCAAATTGTTCATGAAGTTTTTTGATTTATTAATTCATAGCAATTAATTTAATGTCTTGTGAAGCATAACATTCACCCTCTTGTGTGGTTTATATTCAAGTACATGTACCACAATATATGATTTGCGTTACATATTGCAATCATGCACCTAGATCTAATTTTTTTTTATTATTTTTTATTTATTGATTTATTATCATATTCATTTAGTATTACATTAACAGTGTTGGCACTTGATACCCATAAAAGGCCATATCAATGCCTGCACATAAATAATTCAAAAGCGAAAAATACAAACATAATACAATTGTGGAAAAATAACAAATTGGATTGCTAATACCTATACCTAACATATGTGCTCCTCTCGCAGTCTGATCATGAACTTGAAAATTGTTCTATGTTGTTCCCTTGATTCAGAGATTAATTATCTCATCAGAAGATGAAATCGCTATCCTCACCCACATTACGTATTCAAGTCACGATCATATAAAACCTTTATCCATTGATCTGAAAAATTGTGCTTTAGTGCATTGTAAACTGCCGCCTGTCCTAGCAAGTAAGTTGAGAGAATAGGCAAATTTCTTAAGATTACCTGTAGATTAATTTCAATTGGTACTTTAATTTGTAATTAATTTGTACTTCACATACTTGTAAAGACATCAAAAGATATTGAGGATATCCTATGATTTTGATTTATGAGTGATATGATTTTTATTGTCTCTGGGTTTTTTTTGGCAGAGGTTGGCAGTTGGAAATCAGCCGTGGTGGGCGGCGGTTGGCGTCTGTAACAAATTCTTAAAACTTCCAATAACTTTACAAATACTATTTAGACTGACTTTAATTTTTTCTAAATCATCTACAAGTTTTCAAAAATTCAAATCTGGCTTAACATTTAAAATTTGACCTTCAATGACCTTTTCAAGGTCAAAAAAGGTTAAAAAAGGTCAAAAAGGTATATTTCAACTTGCTTTTAACTGACCAAATATTTGTTTCAATATCATCTGCAAGTTATCAGAAGTTCAAATCTGACTTCAGATTTAAGATTAAACCTTCAATGACCTTCTCAAGGTCAAAGAAAGGTCAAAGGTATTTTTTCAACTTGCTTCAAATTATCAATTTTTTTTCAAAATCATCTACAAGTTCTCAAAAGCTCAAATCTGACTATAGATTTGACCTTCACTGATATTCTCAAGGTCAAAAAAGATTTGATCTTCAATGACCTTCTCAAGGGCAAAAATATTTTCTCCAAAATTATCTACAAGTTCTCAGAAGTTCAAATCTGACTTTAGATTTCAGATTTCAGTTTCAATGATCTTTTCAGGGTCAAAAACTTGCTTCAAATTGACCAATTTTTCATCCACAGAGTTCTCAGAAATTCAAATCTGACTTGTGAGCAACTAGGTGGTGACATTTTGTCATGTTAATGCCTTGTTATCCATGAATGGGTATCAATATCTGCATGAACGAGCATTGTGAGAGAGTGCAGATATCAATATCCATGAGAATAATTTACCCATGACAATTACATTTGATATATCTTAAATATCAGGTTTTAGAAATATGTATTCCATTGCAAAAATCCTCTGGTTTATGTTTATGGGTAATCCTAATTAATATCAAAGTTTTGCAATTTCTACTAAAATACTACAGTCGTGATAATATTGTCTTCAGATGTGAGGATAATATTTTGTGCTGAAAACTTTGGTGCTTGGTTTCTCCTGTCAGGAGACCAGTTGGGCAAAGAATGAAACACCCTACATTATTATCATTTCATCTCAGTCTTGATCAAAATTCAATATTTTTAGATGTTTTATCTCAGCTCACTTTTTGTTGACAATTTGTGTGTGTGTGTTAAGGTTCAGCTGGAAAGTAACATTTTGGTAAAAAATTGCTATACTTGCACATGTTATTTTCTGGTACAAAATTAAGTATGAAGGCATGTGTATATTTCCTTGCTTTTTTCAGGAAAGTATCATTACATTGTCTACTTCTGGTAAACCTGGAAACAGGTCAATGGTAGCTCCTGTGTTGTCTGGAAACTTTGAAAGAATTTCCTGGAGTTCCCATAGACCTCTTACCAGATATACAATGAATTAAAAGAAGACCATGTAATGATACTTTCCTGAAAAAAGCAAGGAAATTAACACATGCCTTCATACTTTATAGTGTACCAGAAAGTAACATGTGCAGGTATAGCAATTTTTTACCAAAATGTACCTTAAGTTTACATCTTATGACAGTGACAATATAGAAGAATATGATTCCCATTACATAATGTAAGAGGTCAGTAAATACATGTACTTGTATATTATATAACAGTAACACTGTTATAACACTTTCTATGAGATTGAGTAAGAACTTTTGATATATCAGAGCATGTTACTAACTGCTAAACAGAACGATTTGATTCAGAATGTTATACTATCTTTCTAAAGGATTCAACCTTAAAAATTAAGTGTCAAGCTTATAAATAATCTAGTATTAATGTTTTGTGAATAATGAAATATTAAGATAAATGGACCTAGTTCTATAATCATTAGTATCTTCTGCCCTAAAGACAAAAATGCATTGTATTTTCCAATACTTAACCAATCTATTTACAATTTGGAAAAGATAAATGCTTAAATGCCCCGTATAAAGTTAAAACCACTTTGGCTTATATTGTAGTCTTACCCAATGTTATCAAAGTGTGATATGTGAAACTTTTTTTTTAAATTTCAAAAAGTGTTTTTTGATAGACTTTTTGTTCCAAAATTTGTGAATTTATTTAAAACCAACTTTTAGAGGTCACTCATATCTTTTAATTAGCCACAATTCATACCAATGCATAGCAGTCATCCTCCCATGTTTTTTGCCGAAAAAATTAAGAAAATGGGTTCATACGAGGGTATATCATAAAGTTCTCATACTATCTCTCTAATTTTTTTATTTTTCAATATATTCTAATGAAATTTTCATAGAATCTGCAGTATAGAATTCTGTATTAATCTATCAAACAATATTTGGTATAACAGATATATTAGATAAGTAATGGTTGCCATAGTAACTGGAAATCAAGGCACCCGGGGCAAATAAAAATAATTGAGAGAATGATCTTAATTAACCTTGTTTACATACATAATAAACTCTCATAAATTACCAAACATATTAAAATGTTAACTTAAATATGTTGTTAAATGCTTTTACTATAAAATAAATTGATCATGTGGATTGTGTGGTGCCGTAGGGGATGCTTACATGCTTCATTAGATGTGATACCAGACTCTGAGAATCAAAGCTTAATGATCAGAAATGACTGAGTAAGATAATGCATAGATGCAGGGATCATCAGAAAAATAATATTCTCACTGATAAAAAGTCAAGTTTAGTTTGAAAAATCCTTTGCTCATACTAAATATGATCTAAAACAAATATGGTGCAAAGATACCAACATAATTACACCCTATACCGGTCTATTATTTATTTAAGATGGACTAAAGTGGAAAATTGACTTTCCTTCGAATATCTGACAAAACAGTTGTAGTGTCTAACATCACTTCTAATGAAGCATTACAATCATCCATTATGAGATCACACAATTCACATGACCATTATAATAGTTTAAAACAGTCAAGAATACATGGTACTTACCAATTTGATGTGTTTCATAGCTTATTTGATAAGTTGTTATGCATTTTAACATGGTTCGGTTGGTGCTATTCCTGCACGATTTTTTATTTGCCCCGGGTGCCTTGATTTCCGGTTACTATGGCAACTCTTTCTTAAATAATATTTCTGTTATACCAAATATTTTTTGATAAATTAATACAGCATTCTATACTTCACATTCTGTGAAAAATTCATCAGAATATATTGAAAAATAAAAAAATTAGAGAGATATTATGAGAACTTTATGATATACCCTCGTAAATAAGCGAGAAATGAACTTATAAGTGCATGAAAATGGTTCTGAGAAAAATGTAATACAAAATTTTAGTTCGCATAGACATTGGTTTTTTATGAAAGTCTAGCATATTTAGAAAAGATTGACATCGAAAAAAAGATTTCAATTTTTTTCAAAAAGTTTTTGTTACCTTAGTGACATCACTAATGTTTCAAAATATTTTTGATATGCTAAAACATTGAAGTGGCCCATTAAATATGGCATTTTATTATTGAAATAGTGTGTCCTTTGTTCAATCTTTGCATTGGTGTTAAAAAAATAATCTTTTTTGAAATGCATTAAGAAATATTTGATGATTAAGAAATTTCAACTTTTTTTGAAAAATGGCGGGAAATTTGAATATTTGAGAAATGAAATGCTCACAACTTTTTTTTCAAAAATATTTTTTTTTTCAAAAATCTCTAAAATCATTTTTGAAGTCCTGACAAATAGTAAATGAATGATAAGAAAATATTTTGAAACTTTAGACGGGGACTTTAAAGGGACAACAAAGGACATGGACTAGTTTACAGTGTTTCACTCACGACACTCCTTGCCAACTTCATTTAACCTTTACCATGCTGCCTTATTTCAGCAAATATATCCCACGCAACTGGCTTATTTTTCAAAGAGTGCAAAAAATGATATGCCTGGACTAAATAATTAATATCTCAATAACTACTGAATGAATCTGGATAAAATTTTCACAAAGGGAAGATACAGTGGCCTGGCTCATGAAAAAAATGTTCTCATGAATTTTTTCGTACATTAACACGACTGGGCATAAATATACCATGAATACTCCTCCGGAATCCGCCGCTCCGCCTCTTCGTCTGGTCAGAATCCAAATCTGAATTTGCAGCGATCGAATGTTCAATTTTTCAATTCAGAAAATATTCTAGTTTCTATTTTCGATGACCGTTATCGGCTTCCAAGAGCCTAAAGAGCTCGAAATCGTAATCCATTTCCTCCACATTTTCGTTGTGATCGTATTTGTCCACCATTTTGTACGATTCGTTAACTAAAAACGACTAAAACACTGTTTAAATTGTTGAATTGAGAATTATTTTTCGAAATATCGCCATTTCTAGGTCAACAGGAAGTCATGTTAGGCACTGAATAAATCGGGCAATCTAATTGGACAATACGAATGGCGCGAAAAAGTAAAGTTTTTAAAAGTTTGAAATCGGGCGTACGGGTCCGCCGGCAGTTGTGAGAGACATTTTAGTCTCGGCGGACGAGTCCGCCGGCAGCACGCTAAAGGTTAATGATGCACTGATTTTTCTCTGGTGGCTCAATTTAGACAATATACTTGTATGTACTGTTGATCAGATACCAAACTCATTTTCAAATGATAAAGGATTTAAGAGAAACATAGGTACTTGTATTCTGCCCAAACACTTGAAACCCTTTATCCTTTCTGCTTCCTTTGTGAAGTATTTAAAATCACAGTCTGGAGATTATTTTGCTCTCTAGAATTTACATTTATTTTATCATGTTGCATTGCTGTTAAATACTTTCTTTTCTCAGGTTGCAATACAAATTATACCCATTTACAATGTTATTTCAGGGGGTGTCATTTGCTGTATTCCTTCATGGCTCCAGAGCATTGACTGAGCAGAAAGAGATATCAGCCATTCATTTAGAGGGTGATGTTCATCCCAGTGAAAGTTTGGAACACACAAATGATGCTTCAATGAATACGTGCAGTCCTTTAATTGATAAAGATGTTGCCTCGTAGAGAATTTAGTATTGCACCAAGAACACACAAATCCCATCATTTCATCAAACCAAAAAATCTTTGTAAAATTGAGAAACTGTTTGTTAATTTTTCATACAACTGAAATGAGATTTTTGGGACCAGTGTGAGGTAAAAAATAAAACATGCATCATGAATAATAATGACTTGAGATGGAAGCTTATACCTTTAGCTAAAATTAACAAATTCCAGAATGTCTCAATAAAGTTGATCCATTGAAACACTAAGTTCACTTCACATATATGTGAATATTATGTACATTTGCAAACCTAAAAATGGCGATTTAACATGTAACTTTGGACTTCCACTGATGTGTATCTTATATCAGCACTGACAGCTGCTGATATGTAAGTACACATACAATTACTTTTGGGATTGACGAAATTGGTGAAAAACACTATTGACATTACAATTGCAGAACATGTCATTCGAGAAAGTGCCTCCAGTCAACCTACTCACACTAGCACTGAGATGATGAGTTATTATTACTGTTTTCTGGATCAATAGGAACAAGTGGACACAGTTTTTCAAATTAGGAATATGAAGGCCATGTTCTCGGGGGTATGACAAAATTGTTAATAGATTGTCTGCCTATGGTGATCAGAAGTTCTAATGATCGAAACATCTTAGAGACATCTTAGAGAAAAGGAAATGATGGGCTGCATAATGCTACAAAATATGCCATCAGTACAAATACAAGGTACAGTACCATACACATGTTTTTTCTATCAGCCATATATTAGGTTTATGTTTTTTACACTGTCAGTTGTGTTTTCCTTTATCATTGCCCAATACATGGAGACAAGTTGTAGGCTATTTTATTTCTCAAACTTTGAAACTATCTCCCTTATGGCCAACTTGCTTTGCAGCAGATTACACATTAAACTATGAAACCTGTCCATACTGATTCTTTTTCTGATCACTCAGTTGTCAATACCTGACAAAACTATTGAAAACCTTTGAAATCTTTTTTTTCCAAAAGACCAGCATGTGCAGTTGAACTTCATATCGTTAGACAGATGTTTGATATAGCTACAAGTTAAGGAAGTTAAAGTAGATGTATCATTTTAATTTGGCTACACAGGCAAATTACATCAGGCCCTGTACAAGCTCGTACGAGTCTCGAGAATTACGAGTCATTACAGGCAAAAAGGAGCACTATCCTCGTACGAAGCTCATTTTCGAGGCCTGTGCGATGCTCTTATTGTTGTTTTCGAGGCCGGTACGAGCATGTACGAGGCTCGTAATTTCGAGGCCCGTACGAGCAAATACAGGATTGAAAATTACGATTTATTACGGGGCTTGTTATGGGCACCATACGGTCAAGTACGGGGGTCTAACATTACGAGCTATTATGGGCTTTGTAATCACAAACTCTTATGAGGCTCGAAAATTACAAGCAATCACGAGACTCGTAATGAGGCCCGTAAGAGGTTGTACAGGATCCGTTGACATAACGAGCTCTGTACGGGCTTGTACGATGTCCGATGTAATTTGCCTGTGTACCCCACTCTCTGACAGATGCTTTGGGTATAAAGGACTTTGCTTGTTAATAATAAGTACCAAATGAAATATAGAATAAATGCTATACTTACTTATCAGTTCTCATCTCAGCACATCCATATGGTACTTCACATGGGAAGTCTTGGCCAACAGCTACAGTGTTAACAGTCTATACTCACATCAATTAGACAATGCCTTTGTCAGAAAGTTAAATGTCATAAAACGTCTTGGAAAGTCCATCATTTTCTCACATTCACCTCTCCGTCACGTATTTGTTGAAGGATGAACAGATTGAACATAGCGGCTCATTTGTTCGGATTCTCTATGATGATAAATACGACTTTTACTGTGTTAGCTCAGAGCACAGTTGATTAACCTTCTAAGCTTCTATCCTGAAAAGAATGTATCCAGGCCTCAAGAAGTATTGCAATTACGCCGAGAATTCTAATAAAATAATAGCACTTGTTAATAACAAAGTTTTATTTCAGTATTCCATTTGTTTCTGTCTCTGTAGATTAATAGTTGTTATCTAAATGGAATACAAAGTGATCAAAGCTTTTCAGATATATCAGTATTTGCATTTGATATGTCATCCTCATTCTGCTAGCGCTAATAAGCATAATTGTGCAATTAATAATCTTTTGAACAGTATCACATTGACCTCCCATACTTTCAAATTGACATTTTTTTAAATTGAGATTTTGTCCTTGCTTTGGTCATATTTTCATTGTTCGATGTCATTTTGTCCCTGAGAATAAATTCCATATTTGGAGAATGTAACACTCTGGTTTTGAGACATTACATCATCTGATCAAGTAACATGACACCGCAATTCAGATTATAAGTGACATCTGAATTAAGATGATGTGACGCCTCAATCCAGTGTCATGTTACTTTGATCCAAATGATCTGACCCCTAAATCCAGAACTTTCAGTTCAATTGGCATGGAACAGAACATTGTAGGAGCATTTATAATGAATTGATTTGCAATTGTATTTTGTATATGTTGTCATGTTTGGCCTATTGGAATTTTAACATTGGTTACATCTTAAGTAATGTTTGCAGAAATAATGACACACTTGTTTTATGATTTCAACACTGCCTGGGTGTCTGGTTTTTTAAAAAGATTCCAAATGATTTATTAAGAAGATGTAACGACCCCTGATAGCAAGTTGCTACTACAGCCCAGCTGATTAAGCCTTTATAGCTCAGTTGGTAGAGCATCAGTCTTTGGAACCAAGGGTCCCAGGTTCAATTCCCAAACTGGGCATTGAATTTACAACACTTTCCTACAATTTCTTTATTCGGCTTGTTACACTTTGCTCATTAGTTAGTCATTCCCCTTGGGTGCCCTTGAGTCATTACAAAGGCTTTACTACAAATTATATACAAAGAAGAGATTTTTATGTCATTTACTGTACTCAAGAACCTTAAGAGTAGAATAGTGATTACATATTTAAGTACATGTAATATAAATTAGTTGTGTTCAAAAACAATCATGTCTACAAGGCGAGAGAAATATCACATTTATTCTCACTTGTTAAAATCATTTACATAATAATGTACATTATCAACATTCTATTTTAGTCCAGTACATTAGTTTCACTATTGAGATATTTGATATTTTTACAGTAGGCTTGTTAAAGTAACTGGCTGCAAATTGGAACCTCAGTTCAGATGGCATGACACACTTCGGTTCAGTGACATGACACCTCTGTCCAAATGGCATGACTCCTCAATCATGATGGGATGACACTTAGTTCAGATACAGTTCTGTCACGCTTCAGTCATTGATGCAATGTCGTATTATTTCCAGTAACCTTGCAAGTAAGTGCAGTTTTAAGTTTTCTGTTTCATTTCAGGATAATGTAATTCCCTGACATATAAAAGACCATGTGAGGTATGGCAAAATAAGTACTTTCTGGCCATAAATACTGTGGTTTTTATTATTAAAACAACATGTTTTCTTTCAAGGGAAGTCCCCATGATCGTAAAATATCAATCAAACTCTCTGAAAAATTATGGATTACGACCCCACCTTGAAAAACACATGTTGTTTTCCCATAGAGAAAACTCATGCTATCCATTGTTTTCAGCATAATTTTGGTCATCAAAAATTGATATCTTCAAATCTAGACCTTCAAACTATTCTTCTCTAAGAGACGTTTTAGACCCATGTTGAATAATCTTCATGCAATAAAAATCAGAACAAGAAGATTTGATTAAATAGGTTCAACATTTTGGTAAAATTTTGACATTGGGTCCCTATTCACAATTTTTCGAATTGTTTGATTGATATTTTTATCATCATGGAGACTTCACTCAAAAGAAAACATATTGTCTTAAAAAACATTGTATTTATTCCCAGAAAGTGCTTGTGGTGAAAGATATGGCTGTCTAAATTCACAATTCTAAATTCTAAATTCAATCTACTACATCTTCGGTAATGTTAGCTCTTTGGGGTGCAGCATTGTCGTCAAGCCAGGAAAATCCCCTTTCAACCACATTTGACTTGACTGAAACTGTGACTAAACTGCGACCATCATTATGACACAAATGTCCTTGATTTCTTTGTGACGATGACTCATAAATGAGACAATGGAATGTAGTTACCATTGTGATAATCACATAAAACATATTATGCAGTCTTGCATAAAAATGTGAGGTCATTTGGAGGTATACAATATATTTTAAAAAACTCGATAAATTATCTTCCAAACCCGCATTCAAAAGGGTGCCCTGCCTACCCAAAACAATCGTCACCATAGCAACACACATAATAATGTAACTGAAGCTAACCCATTGTCATAGATCTTATTTAATAGGTTAATATTTTCTGCATCATCTGTGAATTTTTCAATGTGATTGAATAAAGTATGAAAAAATGAGAGCAGTTGGTTACTTACTTTCTGATCGGGCCTCGTACATTGATGTTATCATCTGAATACTACACATTGATGTGTTTTTATAGCAATTGATTTTTACATCTTTCTCAATTATGCCTAAGTACAACAGAAATTATATTTTAGTTTTTGATGTGTTTGCGCAAAAGGCATTAATTTTGGGTGATACAACACTTGATCATTACTTCAATGTATTTTCACTCAAGCTATGCTTTCATAGATGATACAATACATTTTCTTATGGTCTTCCTTTTTGGGAAGAGAACAATATTTTTAGGCTTTGTATAAAAAACCTCCTACCTCCTACCTCATACCCACCTACCCACGTACGTTGGACATGATACAGTCTTTGAAGGGTTTAATTTTAAAGATCTTAGTTTATTAAATCATAGTTTATGATGAATTATAGATGCATTTGTAACGACCCTTGATAGCAAGTTGCGTCAGCCCAGCTAGGTTCGATTTCCACTCGGGCATCGAATTTAGCACACTTTCTTTCAATTTCTTTATCTGGCTTGTTGGACCTATGCTCGCGGTGGTTAGTTAGTTATTCCCCTGGGGCGCCCTAGGGTCATTACACATTACAATGCACCCATATGCCTTTATTTATGGATCTGTCATCGTCTAGTCATGAAATAAAGCCGGAATTGTAGAAATGTTAATAATTAGAGCTATTTTGAGATTTAAAAATCTTTAAAATTGAACCCTTCGATGACTGTATCATGTCCCATGTAGGTGGGTAGGTGGGTATGAGGTAGGAGGTTTTTATACAAAGCCATATTTTTATGTCACCACCACAAGTGTTATTGTCTCCAACTGTTTTGTCGAGGGTGCTGGACAGTCGATGTCTGTTACAAATGGCATGTGGTGACATTCTGCATGTAATGCCTTGTCAGTATTTACAAGGATCTATTACATACATACATTCATACATGTAGTACGTAAATGGAATTTTAAACAAATAAGGAGGATTAGGATTGAATAATCTGGAGGCCGTTTCTTGAAAGTTTTGTCATTAACGAATCGTTAATTCAATTGTTAATAACGATTTTTCCCTTTCTTGAAAGATAACAATTCGCAATGACGTCATGATTTTTAACCATTCATTCGTCATCCATGATTGATTTTACGAGTATGAATAGAGGTCTCATTATTCCACTAACGATGATAAATATTTCCTATATCACATGATGAACTATGTAATTATCCCATCGAACGAAGTTCGGAGGGATATAGGGAACGCCTCCGTCCGTCCGTACGTCCGTCCGTCCGTCTGTCCGTCTGTCCGTCCGTCCGTCCGTCCGTCCGGGCAGTAACTCAAATACCGTTGGCCCGATTTTGTTCATATTTTGTACACATATACCCCATGGGGGTAGAAGTTCTGCTCGAAAGCCGAATTTCAAAATGGCCGCTCATTTCAAAATGGCGGCCATTTTAGTGCCGATTTTACAGTAATTTAGGTGCAATATGTAAAACTGTAATAGCAATATGTTTTAAATGTAAAAAAGTTATAAAGGACATTAATAATGCTACAAATGTAGATATTAAAGAAGCACATGGCAGCCATCTTGAAAAATGGCGGCCTTTACTCGTCATTTTACGATTTTTGCTGTAACTCAAAAAAATAGTGGAGCGAATTTGTTCATATTTGGTATGTGAATACTATAAGCATTGCACACTGTCTAAAGACACTTTTGGTAGAAGGTGGCCATTTTGAAAAATGGCCGCCATTTTGAAAAATGGCCGCCATTTTGAAAAATGGCCGCCATTTTAACGTATTTTACTATAACTCGAAAAGTAGTGGAGCGATTTTGTTCATATTTGGTGTGTGAATACTATAAGCATGGCACACTGTCCTATGACACTGTGGGTAGAAGGTGGCCATTTTGAAAAAAAATTGAAAAATGGCCGCCATTTTAATGTATTTTACTATAACTCGAAAAGTAGTGGAGTGATTTTGTTCATATTTGGTGTGTGAATACTATAAGCATGGCACACTGTCCTATGACACTTTGGGTAAAAGGCGGCTATTTTGAAAAAAAATTGAAAAATGGCCGCCATTTTAACGTATTTTACTATAACTCGAAAGGTAGTGGAGCGATTTTGTTCATATTTGGTGTGTGAATACTATAAGCATGGCACACTGTCCTATGACACTTTTAGTAGAAGGCGGCCATTTTGAAAAAATTTTTGAAAAATGGCCGCCATTTTAATGTATTTTACTATAACTCGAAAAGTGGTGGAGCGATTTTGTTCATATTTGGTATGTGAATACTATAAGCATGGCACACTGTCTATTTCTAATGACACTTTTGGTAGAAGGTGGCCATTTTGAAAAATAGCCGCCATTTTAACGTATTTTACTATAACTCGAAAAGTAGTGGAGCGATTTTGTTCATATTTGATATGTGAATACTCTAAGCATGGCACATTGTCTAATAAAACTTTGGGGAGTAGTCGGCCATTTTGAAAAATGGCCACCATTTTTATGTGTGTTATTTTACAAGTACGTGTGCGATTTTTCAAAAAATTTAGAGGTGGCTACTTAAAAGCATATTATATTTCTTCTGATGACAAATTGGCTAGTGAGCAACCATTTTGAAAATGGTGGCCTTTCTGGTTAGTTGTTTTATGATATTTGCTATTCGTTTGTAAAAATGCCAGCCATTTCTGTTCGATGGGATTCGCTACGCTTTGGCGTTGCCGTTGTTCTGGTTTCTGATAGGATTACACAGTGACATGTTTCATAAATCATGATCCACCCCCTTTGAATGCTACATGTATGCAAGTAATTCAATGCTGAACCTTAAAAGAAGAACCAGCATTTTCTGTTTCATGTGACACATTTCACTTACTATAGCAATCTGCGACTACCTGACATTCATTCTTGATCGTAAATTATAGCTACACATTGTGAATTTAAGAAATTCTACCCAATCCTGTAGAAATGTAAGTAGGCCTTGACATACTTTTCTATTATTAGTTTTTGTTGTTGTCAATTCAGAAGTTGTTAAAAGATTTTTAAATAAGATTTTTCTATTTTGAATATAATGCTGTCCCTACCTTGTGCTGACATTAACCTTATGGCATTTATATTCAATAGTCATTGTATCATACTGTTTTAATTTACAGTCGCTGCATTAAATGGATGCAAAAGAACTACTACATCCTGTACATGCAGAGAGATGTGAAACCTGAGTGCTCTTTGATGAACAATTTACCATTAATATTCAAACAAAAAATGTGTATTAGCTGAAATATTTGAATGATAAAATATGCCTATCCTTATATGCCTATCCTTAAGTTTCTGTAAAAAAATTTCATGTCACTACCATAATGTTCTGATACTTTTTTGCCTTCTAAAAAGGTTGCAAAATTTTTTGGCCCACCCTGTATGTGACTTTAACATCTGCAGTAATACATAATTTTTGGGAACAGCTACTTGACTTTGACATTCTCTCTTGAAACCCACTAATAGTATCTTAAATTATTTTGGCCTTTACTTTATTACTTTTACGATGACTTTTTAGAACTTTTATCTATTATTACTTTGTACTATAGTGCAGTTCTATTTAGATTAACTTGTGTATCTTGCTCTATTGTAAGTCCAACAGAATATAACTACATGTATATTCAAAATTTTAGGTTTCTTGTGTTTGGATAAAATATTATATACAAGTATAATCACTCATTAACGCTAACCTCAAATCTGAAATTCAATCAAATTGGTGAGAGGTCAGTACTTAAGGTATGATTTGAATATTGAATATATATATATTGTATTTGAGAGATAAAACAATTATAATGTATATATTGTAGCTATATAAAACACATTATGGTAACATTGCATGAATCATTGCCTATATTGTCTATAAAAAGATAGTTGGAATTAAAAGCCACAGGTGCAAATTGTTCATGGGAAAAT